AATACTCTGAGATTATTTAAAAATTCTATTTACAACACTGCCCCATTAGTGGACTATATATAAATCAAACAGTACACTAAGCTATTAATTGAAAATGTATTTGTTTTGTTTCTTGTTGTCTTTACCAAGAGTTATGGTATTAGAGGGCGCCTCTTCTCCCTTGTCATCACATACTGTCCTGTCTTTGGAGAAGTTCTCTCCAGGTAAGTGGTCAAGTGAATGCATTGGTTGCTCTATCATTAGTGGTCTTCTCGAAGTAGTTCGACAGGAGCCCTGGGCTCTTAAGCAAGCTACTTTTCACTAGCAAATTCTTCTCTGAAGGTACCCAGCTCATTATTATTTCACCAACATACTTCCATTGGACAATCACAGTGAATGGCCTTTGTCTCATACTGCCTAAGCTTCTGGATTCTGTAAACCAGAACATTGATTGTTTTCAGTAAAATATGTGACCCTTTCCAATACCTGCTTAATTTTGAAGTTTGTCCTTTCTTATTACAGGGATTGTACAGCCATATCATATCACCTCCATGAAATTCAATTTTACCAGCATTAACTTCATAGCGACTTTCATTTGATCACTAGCTGATTTAAATCTTTTCCAGGTGTTTTTAGTCTTTTTGCATATTCTGTGTACGACTCTACAGAGTGTCGATCCTCCAGATTTGAGTACAGAAAGTCCTATGACACTTTAACATCTTTCCAAACCTTAGTGATGATGGTGTGTTGTCAATAGCTTCATATACTGCTGTACCATAGCTCATCGATAATAGTGGAAGATCTTCATCCCCTGTTTTCTGACGTTCATCTACATAATTGGTTGATTAATTTTAATAGCTTATGGTTGTATCTCTCCACCATGCCATCAGAAACTGTATGAAGGACTGTTGTCCTGGTCTTTTTATTTCAAGAATCTGACATATTTCCATAAATAAGGCTGATTCAAAGTTCCTTCTCTGACCTGAGTAAAGTTCCATAGGTACCCCAAATCTTGAAGTGTATTTATTGACGAGTCTCTTTGCTAAAATTTCTGCTTCTTTCTTAGGAATAGTATATGTGTCTAGTCATTTGGTGAACTAGTTATTCACAATCCTGATGTATCTATTCCCATTGTTACTCTGTGGTAGAGGTCCAAACACATAGACAGTAACTCTCTCAAGTGGTGCCCCACTACATTATCACTGTAGTTGCCCATGCTATTTCTTTCATGGACTCTTTTGCTCACAACATTCTTCATATTATTTACACCAATTCTCTACATATCTCTGACATCCAACCTAATAAATATGTTCTTTTAGTTTCTCCAGTGTTTTCTTAACACCTCAATGTCCAGTTGTTGGGATGTCATGGAAAAGACATAGAGTTTCGGATTATAGAGATTGCGGAAGTATTAATCATAGTCATTGTTTCTGTTCACTGTTATTTTTCCATTTACAGCATAAAAAAGCCATTTGCACGGATAATGAATCCAACTGTGCCTAGTACATTTTTACCTATGGGTTTATGGAGTGACTGCATGCACAAGGGCTTTTCCACACTGTTCTTGATCAGCTGAATAATTAATTTCAAATTTGTTTTGTTTTTTGTCGAAGAATCTTTCAGTTGAGTATTCGACCACATTAATTACTCATCACTTATGAACGTCACATCTTGGATCATACACTGTTGTACTTTAGGTTGGTAATCTTGACTGTCTTGTGGTTTGCTCTTTTCACAGTGTTTACATTATTCATTAACACAGTCTTTATGGTTCTGCCCTGGGTGATGCATGATATTAAAATTAGCTCTTTTTTTCGTTCCTTTGACCTGGATGTGCTCAAAGACTCGTCTTTAGAGTATTGTGACCATGATGTATTAACAACTTTTGATTCCCCATTGTCTCAGCTGTGATCACGTTTCTCACATTTACTAATATTGTTTACAATGAGGTGTTATTTCTTACAGGTTTTGTCTGCAGTTCCTAGCAATATGTCTTTTCAAGTTACACTTGAAACACCCATGATCTTACGGTTTATTTCCTCCATTCTGCATGACTAGATGTCTTTCAGTTCTTCTAGACTGTTGATATCAGAGGTATGTAATGCTTCAATACTACTTAATCTGACGATCCCATCACTTCTAGATGGTGTCTTTAGTTGTTAATCTGAATTCAAGTTCCATCACAAACAGCAGATGTATACCCACTTTGTTTGCGACTCTTTTTCATATCCTCATCTGTTATAGTATCTATAAATTGTTCACTTGCAAACAAATCCGACAGTTATTCTGTACACTATTCCACCCATTCTCTTTGGAAATTATTTTTGAGCCTGATATCCCTCTCATGATATCTTTCCATCAAAGTTCATTAGTTTCTCAATTGGATGATGTTGTAGAACCGACCAGCTAAATTATGAAACTTGATTTGTTAGTAACACGACTGAAGTAGTCCAGGAAGGTCCTACAGTCACAGATGGCTAAGATACACGAGGGCTACCTGCGCTAGCCATCACTAGAGGGAAGGGAGCTAGTCAACACCACCCTCCGCCAACTCTTGGGTTACTCTTTTACCAACAGATAGTGGGATTGACCAAAACATTATAATGCCCCCACAGTTGAAAGGGCCAGCATGTTTGGTGTGACGGGGATTCGAACCCGCGACCCTCTGATTGCGTGTCGAGTGCCCTAACCACCAGGCCATGAGAAGTAGTGGTAACAATGTAGACCAAATAGGTTCTCCTATTCCATATTTAATAGTAAATGGTGATTTAGGTTGAAATTTTTTGAGCAGATGCAAAAAGAGATGTGACTGGTTTGATCTTTGCATTTACCAATTCCTTTCCAAAACATTATATTCTGTCAATTACGTTTTTCTACCTCATTGAACCTGTTTTTATAATTTTGCTGCACATTATAGATTTCCTGTTTTACTTTGTTGGTGTCCTTTTTACTTTTTCAGTCTTGCTGTTGTAATACCTCTGTACATCTCCAATAGATTCTTGATCTTGTCTTCAATCAAACTTATTATTGATCTTCTTTTAATTTTTGTCTCGTTCTTATGGACCTACTTTTAGCTGTTACATCATGTCTAGCAAGGATTCGATCTTGCTTCGTGATCAGGTTGTCATCTTGAAATTTAGTCAAAGTGCTATTTTATTCTCATCCAAATAATCCCACTTCTAACACCACTGTTATAACATGCCCTATCATTGGGCGGATGCTTTTGGATTAATTGATCTCTAAGTAAGCTTCTTTGTAAGTTAAGTATAGTTAACATTAGTATTGTAGTTTATATTGAAACGTTAATTGTGAAATTAGGTCTACAACATGTGTCAAAGTGAACATAGTCTGTAGCAAATGTTACTGAAGAAATTATTTCGTTTTGATTATGCGGACTGGACTTGGTAGTTTTTCTCTAAGTAAGCTTCTTTGTAAGTTAAGTATAGTTAACATTAGTATTGTAGTTTATATTGAAACGTTAATTGTGAAATTAGGTCTACAACATGTGTCAAAGTGAACATAGTCTGTAGCAAATGTTACTGAAGAAATTATTTCGTTTTGATTATGCGGACTGGACTTGGTAGTTTTTAATTTCTTTAACAATACACGCAGTATCTCATTACTAACACTGAACTGAATCACTCTATAACTCACTACTCATTATCTGCTCATTCCTTCACCTATCCTTGTACTTATTATTAACCCTCGTTTCTACATATTTCATAAAATTTCTAGACGAGTACATTGTCCTCATCATTATTGACTCTATCTAGCAAACATCTAGATTAAAACATTGAAAATACAGCTTGCAAAATATATTTCTTTTATAAAAACGTAAGTAAAAACAGTGTCATGGTTTGACTTTCCAATCTAAAACATGAGCATACACTAAATGACAAAATGTAGGACTAAATGAGAAAGTAAAAGTTCAAGCCTAAGAAGTCTTCAGTACGCGCGACTAAAAGATTTACGAATCTGCAGTAACATTCTACGGCGAACACTTGGGGTCTGGAGTTAATTCATATCATTTAATTAAATATTACAATATAATTAATTATTGAATAAGAAATGAATTGACATCAAAATCCATTTCTAATTATACATTTATAAAATGCATAAGTTCTGTAGCAAATGTCAGGTATTGTATTTTGGCATATATTATCGTAAGTGTCGTTAATTCGTCTTCTGAAAATATTTTTGCGCCTATCAGCTCAAAATCTTTAAGAAAAACGTGATCTTTATTTTCTATACACATGTTCGATTCGCAATCTGAGGGTTGCGGGTTCGAATCCCCGTCCCACCAAACGTGCTCGCCCTTTCAGCCGTAGGGACCTTATAACGTGACGATCAATCCCACTATTCGTAGGTGGTGGGTGATGATGACTAGCTGCCTTCCCTCTAGTCTTACACTGTTAAATTAGGGACGGCTGGCGCAGATAGCCCTCGTGTAGCTTTGCGCGAAATTCAAAAACCAAACCAAACTATACACATGTACAATGTCACATGTGTATACGTGGATGTACTGATATTAGACGTCATCTACTATTTTGCCACCGAGTCCAATATCACTAAACAGAATAAATACTTTGCTATCATCTGTCCCGTCTCATCCTCTGGAACCAAAGGGAACTCGACAGGAGAACTGAGAATAACATCAATGAACATCCACTAGAAAATAAACCAATAATTCGAACTCTTTGTTGAACTGGCACATATGTATATATATATTAAACTTCCTGTTTAAGCGTCAACTGCTGCATTATATATGGATAATAAAACTTCGTGCAGTTAAGGTAGTTATAAAACAGCGCCGTATTTTAATAACACAGAAGTACGGGCGTTACATGTAGTACAGAAATAGCCATGGGCTGCGCAGCTGTTTCGAAGTGTGTGTGTTGTTTTTTTTTTTTATTATTTACTCATGTCAGTCATACCACGTAATTCCATCTGTAGCAAAATGACACGCCAACGTTTGGTACTGGCCAATTGGCAATGCTAAAAAACATGGTAAGACTGGTGTCATTCGCAGAATTCGTTTCACTGTGATCTAAGCCTTGGTGGGTCCCAGTCGTCGTAATATACCAATATTGGAATAAAAACCGACTGGATTTGAGTCTAAAAGTACTGGGTGTATTGAATGTTTGCGACCTAACAGTAAATAATATCACGAAAGGTAAGGCATAAGGAATATTTAACCCTAATCTCACCTAACGCTTAGTACTAGAAGTAGAATATCTATTTGTTTGTTTTTGATTATGCACAAAGCTACACAAGGGTTAGCTGTGCTCTGCCCACCACGGGTATCGAAACCCGGTTTCTAGCGTCGTAAGTTTGTTTTTAAATTTCGCGTAAAGCTACACGAAGGCTATCTGCGCTAGCCGTCCCTGACTTAGCAGTGTAAGACTAGAGGGAATGCAGCTAGTCATCACGACCCACCGCCAACTCTTGGGCTACTATTTTACCAACGAATAGTGCGATTGACCGTCACATTATAACGCCCACACGACTGAAAGGGCGAGCATGTTTGGTGTGACGGGGATTCGAACCCGCGACCCACAGATTGCGAGTCGAGCGCCCTAACCACCTGGCCATGCCGGGCCAGCGTTGTAAGTTCGCAGACATACCGCTGTGCCACTGGGGGGCAGTAAAATATCTGCTGGCTGGTCAACTCTTTTTAATTCGTAATAACAGCTTTAAACGCTTTATCATATTTATGAAAAGACTGATTACTAAAACATAACAAAAAACATGGTTTTGTTATAACTATAACGTAGCTGCGTTACACCTTTTTTTATATGACGACCTACCTCCGCCAGCTGTCAGGTTCGTGGACAGGGGGCGAGCGACGGCAACTGATCAGGGGCCTTGGCAGATGAAATAGATACTTTTTATATTTATTCAAAATTAAGATTTACAACAACAAAGAATAACTTGTATTTAATAACAACAAATAATTACTTATTCTTTGTTTTTATTTTGGCTATTTAACAATGTCTAAAGTACGTCATATGTATATATATATAAATGTTCAATTTCATTTTATTGTCGTGCTAATTCTCAGAAAGTAAAGTTTAAATCTGGACTTTTAAGAAAATGTGATTCGTTGTATTATGTGTGTTAAGACATTGTTCCATTAAAGATAACGATCTAGAGTTATATTTTATATTATATTCTAACTGCGCTTATTTTAAGCATTATTATTACTCATTCAATATTTACGATCTACAAATTAACTTCGTCGAATTAAGTTGTAAATGGCACCCACGAGAACGTGATTCCAATAATTGTAAAAATATTTAACCCTTTCTCTAGTTTTTTTTTTTATTGTTGTTATTCCATAAAGCTTTTTTTTAATACACATTATTCATCTGTCGGAAAATTTATGCAATGGGTAACTAAAATATAAATAATTTATTAAAAAATTGTTGCATTTATCCTAACCTTACATTTTCTCTTGAGTGAAAGTAACTTAACCTAGCATCATTCACATGTACTTCGAGAGTCACGTATGATGTTCATATGAAGCTCTCTTCAGGGGCGGATTGGGTTGGCTAAGCGGCCCGG